TAACATTATGCAGCAACATTTTGAAACTCTTTAGCGTCTAATCACATTCGAGAGAGCATGCCTCGTATTAAAGAATACATAATAATATAAAAATAAACGTATTTCTCGAGATTTATTTGATGTCGTGTGTGGCATTTTGGAGCTCCGAATTTGTCAGCCAACGCCGCCCGTCGGCATTCGCAGCTATACCTCTCTCTCGTTGGCTAGCATTATGCAACAGCTTTCTATAACTCTTTATCGTTTAATCTTATTCGAGAAAACCTAATTTGCATTAAAGGACACATAACAATGTTAAAATAAATATATTTCTCGAGATATAACCCAATGTCGTTCAACGCATTTCGGAGCTTCTATACAACTTTTCCGCCGAGCCGGCCGAGCACGAGCACTGCATTAATTCGTGTAATAGTTTCAGTTATTCATACATACATATAGTACATATACATATAAAAAAGTAATTAATAAAAACGTTATTAATTTAACAAACAATAGATATTAATATTAAATTATTATTAACTAATAACGAGAAATATATCGTGCATTCGTTTGGCGCTTGAAAGATCATAAAAATTATGAAAAGAATTTTAGGTTATAAGAAAAGCGAGAATCTCGAGTTTGGAGTCGTCTGTAATTCCTCAGAAATCGCTCCTGTTACGCGGGAAGCATGTTGAGCAAGGAGGTTTTAGTAAATATTCGAGCAGCGGCACGCCTACCCCCACTATTACCCATCGCCATTGATGAACGGTGCGCCGGGCGCGCGACGAGGATGGCCAGCCTACGGCCAATCAGAGCGCTGGCAGGTGTGCATAGAAGGGGCAGTAGGCTCCCGCGCTCTGACCAATAGCAGCGTGATTACGAGGAGGCAATGTGGAGTGGCAAGACCCGCGCTCGGAATACCTCCGTCAACCTCCTTGCCTAACATGCTAGCCTGATATATCAGGAGTAAATTTCCCAGATTTCGCGGTGCGAAACCTGAGTTTCGCTTATCTTATCATCCAAATTAATTCTTCTATTAACTTTTATCATCTTCTTTAGCATCTCTACGGATGCATAATTAAATTCTCGCTGTTTTTTTAATTATAATTTAAGATTGTAATATTGTATTAATCTAATGACCAATATGTTTAAGGGTTCTTTAATGCGAGACATGCTTTCTCGAATAACATTAGGTGATAAAAAGTTTTAAAATGCTGTTACAAAATGGCGAATGACGAAAAGGATGGAAATCAGAAAGGCGACGGGCAACAATCAACGATTCTTGAGAAATATCTTTGTCTTAATGATTCGATTCTCCTCGCCTTTTTACAATACATTCTAAAACTTTTATTGTTTAATTCTTTTCAAGAAAGTTATATGTCTTATATATCAAAGAACATATCAACGTTAGTATATTTTTCGATATTCATTCGGTGTCGCGTATCGTATTTCGGAGCTCCAACTTTGTCGTCCAACGCCGCTCGTCGGCATTCGCGGCTACCTTTTTCTTGTTGTCTAACATTATGCAGCAACATTTTGAAACTCTTTAGCGTCTAATTACATCTGAGAGAGCAAGTCTCGCATTAAAACATACATAACAATGTTAAGATGAATATATTTCTCGAGATATGACCCAGTGTTGTTCAGCGCATTTCGCATTTCAAAACACCCGCGGAATACCTACTGCAATCCGGACAACCTCCTCGCTTTCATGCTTTCCTGATATATCAGGAGTAAGTTTCCGAGATTTCGCGGTGCGAAATCTGAGTTTCGCCTACTTTATCATCCGAATTAATTCTTTTATTAATTTTTATTGTCTTCTATTTTTATATTTGTAAATGTTATTTTATAGTAAAAAATCACGAAGCAGATTCAATATTTAGAGCTCATACTAAATTCTGTTAATACTTTATCAATTCTGAGAAATATCTAATATCAGAGAGACTAATGTAAATATTTTTGTAGCATAATTAATTAATTTATATAGAATCATACATAACTTGGGAATGAAACGGACAGGTTGTATCAAAGAAAATCCATTGGTGCATAAAATACGAAATATATATATATTTGCTTTTATAGCATAACATATATAATTTAGATAAGTATACATATCTTATGAGTGTTACACTTCGTATCATAAGTTCAACGATATAAAAGATGACAGTTCACAGATTAATATGTACAAAGAACGGCAAAAGCCTGGTCGTATAGTATATAACACTCCAATGCTTCTTGTATTCTATATAGCCGTTAAGAAGATAATCGCGATTGTATCCACGCGCACAGTATCTTATGTTTGTAAATCATGTTACAATTGTCAAAGAAACGAATTTATCATTGCTGGTTACAGGTAAGATTCGTTCCCGTCCCGTTCGATGTAAGCGTGAAAAAAATATCTGGTAAATACGCCCGGAAAAGAAAATATTGAAGAGATACTAATTCTGTCAATCAAATTTGATTAAAACACAACTATTAACGCGTTGTTACAACAGAGCCATTAAATAAAACATAATGTCAAGAAGAGTGTTCTTTCTTAACTTAAAATCAGTTTCGAATTGGTACCAGTCACGACTGCGCAAAACGAAATAAAAAGTTTACAGTGTTTTTTTAGAGGCGAAATTTATAACAAGTTCTCTTCTACGATACTACTTTATTATTGTGATTATCCCCGCAATTGATCTTGGCTTCTCACAAACTTAAAATATACAAACGCGCCATTGCATCGATAGAAAAGTGCACTTGATTTGAAGAATGCATTCGTCTAAAAATAATTTAGAGAAAGATAAAAAATTGACGCTATTAAAACGTTGTATATTCGTCGATCGCATTATTGTGCCTTTTATCGTGCTGCTAAGCACAGCATCTGTATTTCCACAGCACTTCTTCGATGCTCATAGAGAATTCATCTCTCATTAATATTTTTACAAACGTAATTTACGTAAGAAAAGAGTTACTCATAGTATCGTCTTGGGGCTAGTATTGTCCGTTTGTTTAGTCTATGCTTAGTTAGCTAACTTATATACGAACATTAAGCCTACTAAGATAGTATGAATTAACGCTCGTGGAAACACCCTGAATCACTGAATGACAGTTGCAGGCCCGGGTTCTCGATTTAGCATAGTATTTAGCCCTGAATACAACCATCTGAATCTGAGTTTCGTCTGCTTATGCGAAAAATTCAAGTCAAAAGATAGATATTAAATGTGAACATTTAGTGCCAAACATACGACAAGAACACGGGCCAAGATCTATTGTCGGTGGTCATGAATATAGACGGCGAATTATAAAATTCGCCGTCTCACTTCGTCTTACTTATTTCGCTATCTCTAAATTTGATCAAAGAAAGATAAGTACTCGTCACTCTTAATAAAAAATCGCAACGGCGCGATTAAACGTGACCATTTCTCTATCCCGATATGCACGTTTCAGTTTCGACTAGGTTCAATTGTCGTGACAAATCCACGACTTGGACATTATACACACCGGGATAATGGGATGGAGGAAAAGGGGGGGGCATATTCGATGATTAAGAGCCAGTATAAATCCGCCATTCGTTCTCAGACGTAGCTCTCATCATCAACGACGGATTTGCCGAATCCTAGATGCCTCGTGGTGATAGGGGCTCGAAGGGAGGTCGATAGGGCGGTGGCGGTGGTGAAGATCTACCCGCCACTTTATGCCTGTCCTCGAGATTCATATGCACCGGCGGCAGATGTCTGAGCCTCGGCGGCAAGAGCGGCGGTGTGTCCGGCCATGACGTACTTCTTTTCTCCTGCTCATCGGATCCTCGCTAAAGTCGACTACGCTTTTATAAGAATCGTTCGCATTCGCGGTTCCATAGATCTCGGTTGATCGACTCCTGTCCTGGCAGTATGTAACATTATTAAATATATATATTATATCTTGGTGTCTATGTCATGCTTTTTAATATCAATGACGGATGCTCCGATCAATAAAAAGTATCAGTACCTTTCTCGGACGGTCGACCTCTTGTCGACTTAAATTCTTCGCCGACATAGCGATGACAAAATCCATATTCTAAATGTCATTCATTCATTACACGCCCCGTCATTCTGCTTAAATTCCATTCGCCAGACATGTATAGAATGTCTTATCTTTTAATAGTTGACATTTCAGGGATTACGTTCTGTGGGATAAAATAAGAAGGATAATTATTAGTCTCTCTTTTCCCCTTTCTCTTTCTAGGAGTACACAACTGCTGTTAAAAATTGCAACATTAAGGAAAAAAAAAAAATTTAACGCGTCCTCCTAAATTTTACTTTAGCTAATGCCTTAAAAAATAACGTACTTTGGAAGAGACTTCGCCATCGATCCGATTGAGTCATAACTGATGTATACTCAGGAAAAGGGGTACTTTTACAAAACGTCGATGGAGCATAAGATACGCGCTCGGCCCAACTCGACCTGAATTCCAACAGGCGCACGTAGCATTCCAATTAGTATGAACACGAATGCACATGCATCGTATCGATTTATTGCGGCATGTGTCCGAGAAGAACGGACGTGAGGTTTCCTGTTAGCGACTTCGAGGAGAGATCAAACTCCTTCATCTCGATCGAATAGAAGCGAGGTGCTCCTCCGAGGCACACCTTGAACGACTGCAATCAGGCATTGATTAACTTATTAATCAGAGATTAATTTTTTGCATCAGAATTGTGTAATATAACTTGACATGTGTTAAGCTACATAAAAATATTGACAAAAAATATTGTGAGAAATTTTGAATAATTTTGAATAATTTCGTGAGAAATTAACTGTCAATTAAGTTAAAATATTTGCGTTGCGCCGCGTTTTGTCTTTCTATCGTGTCAAGCGTGCATGCGCAGACAGCGCGGAATGCCACGTGGTCAGCGTGGTGTTGCAATGGGGTCTCCTAACCTCGCAACTGCGGCGATTTTATCAAGTCGGGGGCTAAGAGTTTTTGTACTAAATAACGTAAATTGCAGGGTTGAATTGAATACTATTTATATGCTGCGTAGATCGAGTTTTGCTGAGATTAGTGAAAGGACATTCCCCCATGTGATTCTCTGATGTAAGTCTAATTTAATTTGATTTTAATCTACGTGTGAAATACGTAATTTAAGTTACCCTGTTTATTTTGTGTAAAGTATAATTAAACCAGAATAAATTGACTGTAATTTGATTAAGTATCTTTTCCAAGTTGGAAGATGAAATTTTGAGAATTTTAACTCTCTAATGGCAAGGTGGTCTTTCAGAACATATTTAATCAACGTACAAAGTAGATAAAAGAAGTAAATAATAACATAAAACTTTTTTCAATAAAGTTAAAAATACAATAAAGTTTATTAATTGAATTTAAATAATTGCAATAAAATAATAACTAAAATAGATAAAGCCGTGGGTCGCATCCGACCCAACCTTACCGTTATAGGGTTAATAATCGACTTGCATTTTTACATATTACACATGTATGTTGTTAAATTAGAACTGTTTCAATTGGAAAGGTATTGGTTGAAACGACATCGAGATGGGTCAAATAGGAGAACAGGATAGCAATAACGTTGTGTTAGATCTCCAGAGCAAACATGACAGTAACATCCAAAACAAGAAGCAGAAGGAGGAGAAGAAGTATAAATGTGATTATCCTGACTGCAATGCTGTGTTTTTACGACCTAATAGATTGGAGAGGCACATAAGATCGCATACTGGAGAGGTAACAATCATGAGCATGAAAGTAATTGTGTTATGTGATATTTCAATGTTTGATGACTAATGATTCTACATTTTCTAATAGAAACCTTACAAGTGTAGCCATCCAGAATGTACAAAATCGTATACAAATTCCTCTCATTTAAAAAGGCATTTGGAAACGCATAATGCTGTGAAGAAAGTTTACACGTTCGTATACGTTGGCATATATTTCAATCAGACTTGTAGGCAATACATTAATATATTAATATGTTACTGTCTCAATTTTAGATGCACGGAATGTTCAATGGGAATGAGAAGCTTACAGGGTTACAAACGTCATTATAAGCAGACCCACAGCGAGAAGAGGATCTCCTGCAAGGAATGCAACGCGACTTTCAACAAGAAGCATCAGCTTGTCACGCATCAAGCTTCTGAGCACTCAATAATGCCTATAGTCTACAAGTGTGATAGGTGCAACAGAAGTTATCTGAATCGCGGTAGATTTAATCGGCATCAAAAGACACACGAGAAGCGTTGTCCAGTACCTGGATGCTCAGAGGTGTTTGATAAATGGACGCTTCTGTGTGAACATAGAAGAACAAACCATAAAGGTATGTATTACAGAAAAATAAATTATATCATAAGAATGTAACCGAGCAGAGCAAATTTTTATTTCAGATCATAAATGCGACACTTGCGGCAAAGTATTTCGTAGTAAAGCAAGACTAATTTTACACTGCAAGATACATTCTGAAGACAGATTGGTTTTTCCGTGCCCATACGACACGTGTCATAGATTTTACTTTTATAAATCTAATTTGGACGAGCATGTGAGAACTAGTCATCTCGGAAAGAAATTTTACTGTGATATATGCTCCGTGGGATATACGTCGAAGCGATGGTTGATAGCACATATTAAGCGTCATTACGAACCCAAGAAGAAGAAAAAGAAAAATAGAGAACCACGAAAGAAACGGAAAGATGTTGGTGTACCAAAGAGAAGCGTGGTGTCTGCCTTAATTGGAGTGGATTTGCCATATTCTTTAGAAAAAATGATAAGGGAGCGAGAAACCATGATAAACGAAACAGTGACAACAACGGAAGCATCTTGATAAATACCCAAACGATATAGAAAAATCTATAGATTCATTATGTCTCTATTACAATAAAATTAACGATGTAACATTTGTTATTAAATTCCGATGTAACATTTTCTAACGAATATTCTAATTAGGATAAATCTAATCTTGCATTTGTTTTTATATTTTCATTCTTTCTCTATTATTTTCAAATCAAATGGTGAAATAAAGAGGCTCAAGAATAAACAAAAAAAAAATACTCTTACATAAAATAAATAATATTTACATCAGTAAACTTGGTAAGCTGGCGCCCGATGCCTCTCCCAGGCCTCCTCCTCTCGAGTTGTCAGCTCCCTCGATGCGACACTTTCTATGTCGTTATCTTCTGAAACATAAATAAATAATTTGATATTAACTGATTCTTACGCATCAAACTTCTCAGTCATCATTCAATTAAACATTTATTTAAATAAGTAATACATTTTCCAAAAAAAGTGTACAAAAATAAATTTTTATAAAATTTTAAATTATTTCTTTCTTTCTAATTATTATTTCAAAATCATGATAAAATTATCGTAAAAATGTATTATGTAAAATTACATTTTTAATAAATAATGTATCATATGCTTTTCAGGTATAACGAGTATACAGCTGCGATCGATTTGCTTATTTACATTTTACTTTGTTCACAACTTAATTGATTTTTTAAAATTACAAACTTTTAAAAATGATATTCCAAAGTTTCTTATTTTTGCTTTTATCGCGCCAGGTGGTTTCGTGAGAGCCAATCACGTTAATTGCTACGAGAGGTTCGTGCGCCGCGGCTGCACCTACTCTCTCTGGGTTCGACAGTTCCACTTGAAACGTGGGCATGTTTACATTCAACAATTGTTTACTCTTCAGACTTTTCTTTGATTTGATCACAGAATAGATTAATAGATATCTGTGGATTTGATTCAGTTTTATTTACGCGATACTGTGTTTTTTGCCCGATGCGATAACGTTCCGAGACTCTTTCTTTCAATAATTATAAGTGTCTTGCGCAATTTTCCTTTTGATGGCACAATATACAGAATATAAAAATTAGGAATATAATCGGTGTTATTTATTAATCGTGTATTTATAAATACATGCGTTTCTTATCAAAATGAGGTATGCTCAGTTAGTAATGGGTCCAGCCGGCAGCGGCAAGGTAATAAATTTTAATTGTTTGTCATTTTGTTTTTTAAGATTTAGGTTAGGTTAAGACTTAATATTATCTCCAACTGATACCAGACCGTGAAATCCCAGTTGTTTGACATAAATCTCAGTAGGTATTATGTATAAAAATGCCTTATCCTTTTACTTGAACTTTTTCTCCTCCCCTCAAATGAGAAACTTTCCTCTTAAAACTCTCCTTCCCTTAAACGGGGGATCCTCCTTTTAATCGAGGAATACGAGGGATGACGGTCGGGATCAAATCACCGACCTTTCAATTACTAATTATTTGCAGAG